ATATATATATATATTTATATACATTATTACTAATGCATTGCAATACAACTATTTAAAAAGAAATTGCAATATAAAATATTCCGTCAGTAACACTTCTCAAGGGTGCATTTTATGGTCAGTGTTATTTACGAAAATATTTGTTTATAATTTTATAAATTGGCTTGGCAATTCCCACCCCAATTAGTTATAATGTGTACATATTTTAATAAATAAAATTAAAGATACACTAACAAAAATGAAATATTAATTATTGACAACCCGCTCGGATTGCCCTTATAATCACTTTTGTCGTTTTTTGTGTGATTTCCAGTGCTTTCACATAGTATTTCTTCTGTGATTTTTTTGGCTTGGCCGATTTCGCTTAAACTTGGCAGGTTGGTCACACCTTCATCCTAGTTATTAGGAAAACTCTACCACCATAGCTACAGCCAAAAAACTGTTGTTTTTTTTTTCGATAGCTTTGCGCCAAATGTATCTCCTCCTACAAATTTGGGATAAAACACCCCAGATATGTCTGGCTCATTCTACTCAGCTTGAGTGTGGGCACAAAGTTGGGATAACTTTTCACCAGCAACGGCTTTTAACTCCTCTGTGATTTTTTTGGCTCGGCTGATTTAGTTATCCTCGGGGGCGGAGCTACATCACGGACGTTCTACGTTGCTAAGACGCGCACCACTGTACCACGTATTTCTATGGGCTTTGTGCGCGCTGCTGTGGAACGCCAGTGGAGCCGGTGAAAACTCGAGAAAACAACACAAACTCAACTTCGAAGTAATCCTAAACAACCAAATTCATATATGTTACACACGTAGGGCTAATCTTGTTACACTGTTCAGGGGACTCTCAACAACCATCGCCAAGTACCGTTTTCTGTGAGTTTTTGGTCTTCACAGCGAAGGTTGCCAGGCGGTAGAAAATGCCCGGATGTCCGCCCCCCCCCCCGAGGATAAACTGATGTTAGCTTCACATTCATGTCCTACCATGGAAACAGCCAAAAACATGTTGCTTGTTTTTTGAGCGGAGCGGATCGTCAACAGCCTACCGGCTTGTATTGACTATGTCCCGGACTGTTTACTAGTACTTACTTACTTGTCAGTGTCTGACTGTAATATACAGCCCAGAGCACGTCAGAATAGTAAAAAAAGTCAGGAAATGTCAGTTGCCCATGTCTTGAGAGCCGTTGAACAAAAACAATCTGTCATCCTTTGCCGCCAACAGCATCGATATGATTTTATATTGCATAGAGAAGAACACTAAATGCAGCTATCCCGGTCACCAATCGAATCATCAGTCTTCATGATTTATGCTACTAGTATTTCCATCTATTTGCTTAATGGTGTAAACTTTAAAATTGTCAAGTTCGAGAGTGTTTTTACATACAGTGACGCGAACATTCAACAACGTGTTGAACAGAAAGTCCATCTTGGGCTAGTGGCATTGTTAAATTTTAGAGAGTACAGGAAATGTTTCAGTAAGGAATTGTTATCCATATCAAAATCCTTTATTGGAACAGAACATGTTATATATTCACCAAAAACAACGTTGCCATGTTTCTAGGCATACAACAAATTGGAAACAAAAGAAATCCTCCGAACCAAACGACCTGCGTCCTTGAGAATCTAGTCTTATCGCCTTTGCCTTTCGAGCGAAAAAAGTCGAAACTACTTACCGCTGCGATAGATACCTAAATTATATTTTGATTTTAGTAATCGAGAGTAAAAACAGTGTTTATGCTATGAGAAAGTGCAGATCTTGAACGTACTTTAGTGGAAATACATTTTTGCCTATCACGGCGAACGCAATTTAATGTGAGTGAATTTCCCTAGTTGTATGTGGTGTCCAATATGGCACCCAAGGGCAAAAACAGTGTTATGCAAATTAGCTTCAGTTGAAAATTTGAGTTTTCTCGGCGATATCTACCTGAATTTGAACCAAATTGTTATCGGCAAGACTCAGAATACGACTGTGACAGCCACTGAAACGCAATTGAAGGCAAATGAACACCTCAAGCAAACAAAATGTTTCGAGTCGTGGCGTAAAATGGAGGCACATACCATTTTGACTCTTGAGGGGAATGGAAATCAGTTGATTTGGACTTTAGTACAACGTCATTTTTGTTTGATTACCTAACGTTTTTAGGTTCATTTGCTGCATGTTACAGAGCACATACCTAAGCGACCGTCCCTCAACAAATAATGAAGCAAAGGCATTTTCGATGTTCAAATCGCGAAACTCTCCCTTTTTACGCAAACTGGGAAGTTCGAATTACTAAACAAAGTACTTAACGACAAAGATAAAATATCCAAGAATCAACACATACCAAAAATTATATCTCAAAAGTGAATATTCGTGGTGTATTTTAGGTCTAACCGGACCAAATGTGGAAATTTGTTAGTACTCTTGTCACACGCAACGTAATAATACCGTAGTTGGTATAGTACAAGTGTGATGGTTCAAATACCAAAATGGCAACAGTAACACAAA